GACAGATGCTAGTGGCCAGCGGCGGCGGTGCTGGCCGGGGGGCGTCCAGAATTTGAATGAATAGCTCTCAACGGCTTGTCAGCTTTTCTGATGACGGCTATTCTTTTATAGGGGACAGTTCTGATATAAGTTCATCATCACTAAAGCTATCATGAGCTTATAGCATAAGGGTGAAAGTCACCGGCGTATGGCATACTGACGTGGCCAGCTGCAAGTGGTTATGTTCCGCCATATGTCATACGTCGGAGGCACGAAAGGGTAACAATAGTCTCAACCTTTTTCACGGGGTTATATTATGTGTCCATTGACTGCTATGCGAAGTTCAGTAAAATATCTGAGGGAAATATTTTACAGCCCACATCCTGTCGTGTGGTCTCTTTTGAAGATTCAGAAATAAACCAGCTAGTTGCTTTTATGAACTGAAATGGTTGGTTGTGTAGACAATAGTTTGCACTACAGTACAAGAAGATTAACGTGCTTGTCTATACCAAACTTAGTTTTGGATAGAGTGGACAGAAGCCGAACCCTTGTTTAATTTTACTGCCATTGGGGGGCTCGGTTAGTGAGCTCTTCCCTTACTTTCTGTGCTGCTGACAAAGTTTCACCAGATCGGAAGTGAGGGTAAATCTCCAACAGCAACATAGAAACAACAAGAAAAAAAATGTAGATTTTCAGTAAAGTAAGGGAAAGTTAGAATCCATGCCATACTTTAAGTGAAGCCTGTTGCAGATTTCCACTCTTTCTGTCTAATAGAACTGTTGTCGGTTGTACAGGAAGTGAGGTAGAATGTCTAATGAAGTGCCTGATGGCAGTACAAATCTCACGGGTTTTAATCCTGCTTTAGGCTTGACCACAACTTTGAAAACTCAATTGGAGCCTCAAATTGTTTAACCTTTTTATGCAATCATGCTTCATAACAAATAGGACTATGCTGTTTATTTGTTCTTTATTACATATTGTATGTGTTTTAAACTGTAAACGATAGCTGTGTCAACAGCAGCGTGGAAAGCCGGACCGCTGTGCCCTGTGTGAATGCAGCATTGTGGCTCTGCAGTGTGCTGTTGACACAGCCATTTTTTACAGCAGTTTTAAGACTACTCCCCCCTACACAGTGTTCCAATCAACAATACTAAGGGAGTATGAGCACGGTGCAAGTGGGGATTGTTGGACTGCTAGTTGTACCGTCTTATGCATCCAGGCTTAAATCTGAGACTTTAAAAGAGAACTATTGGGGTAACCTTTTTATTCCATAGTTCTCTTAAGAGTCACAGGAGGGCATATACTAACCTCCTTCCGTGACCCAAAGCTCAGTATATAGCGAGCCATTGGTTAATATCTCTTCAGTTATGTTCAGAGTGAACAATGGAGTGCTCCAGTTTTCAATAAGAAGAAACAGGATCAGTAAACGTGAGAAACATATTTGCAGTTTCCCTGCTCGCCATCCTGAATAGGTGCAATCTTCCCTGCTGCCCACTGGCACGCCTGGCGCTCAGTCCTCCATGCTGTTCACCACAGTGTGCTCCCCTCTGTGTCCCCTCTTGAACCTGCTTTCTCTACTGATGCAACTGGGGACAGAGCGGTAAGGATCAGAGGGCACACAGGATACAATAGGGCAGAATGAGGGCACTCAGCGGGGTGGATCTGTGACTGGCAAGGCACAGTGCGGGGTAGCAGTATCGGTGCCTGCTTGCCTGCCTGATCTGAGCTGACCAGCTGTAAGCAGTTTTGTTCTGTCGTAATGCTTACATTGGTGCCAACGAATTGGTTAAAGTTTGCCCTCTTGAATGTATGCAGGTTGCATTTACTTTAGTGGGACCTACCCTACCTAAATATTTACATAGTCATTTTTATTCAGTAAGGCAAAGTACAAAGCTCAGTGACCCAATACATCCTGTCGCAGCTCATATTTCCGTGAACTGACCTCTTGTGAACCTGTCACAAGCCTGGACATTTCAAACTGCGTATATAATGAATAAATACATAATAGATTTCCTTCAGTAAAACACTCTTGTCCACACTATCAGTAGGTATAGGCAGCTGAAATGTTATGTTCATGCTATCCATTTTTCCTGGTGGATCTGTAACAAGTTATTCACTGCTATATAATGGAGACTTACCATGTTATCTGGTTTTGTAGTCCTCCAAGTAGTCCCTCTTTCCAAACAGTTTCTTTTCTAGCTAATGTAGTTTTCTTGTACATTTCCAGCTTAAGTCTTAAACCTGCTGTAAAGTAGCTCTGGATTTTAAATTGCATGTTGGATTGCTTCTCCGCATAAAAATGCAAAGATCCTACCCATAGCTTTTACAAATGCTCATGCTTTATGGACATTAGTGTAAACTTGGGCTTTGTGTTGATGTACATAACTACTAAACAGGTATAATAAATGTTGCTGCAAACCCTATGGTAACATGATCACCTTGTTTTGTTTTCAATTCAAATAACTAAATAAAAAATAATTTAAAGTGAAAAACTGGCCATACACAACCTAAATTTCGAGCGATTTCTATGAATTGGCTGAAATTCAAGTTGTGGTTGGTCCTGCTGCCACCAGCTGGCTCAACAGACTTCAATTAGAGATCAGAGGAGCCAGGCAGAAAAAGCCAGGGTGTTTAGCGTGGATGGGGTAATCAAGGGATTTCTCTTTATATGCATCTCCAGCTTACCTCCAGGTTTTTGTTGCCCATGTGCAGTGTTGGAGAGATTTCCTGTCCTGGTTACAACACTGTCGCTGGAACAGGGACAGACAACAGTCAAAACCTGACGGATGTGAATCGCACCAAAATGGACATATTAAACATTACCCATGCAGTATGGGGCAAGCAGTGCTCCTTTTGGTCTAGGGTCTCAAATTAAAAAAATGTATATACTTGCCCGTTCCCCGGTCCCGCAGCGGCGACTGCTAAACCTCTCTTGCCCTCCGCTCCAGCTGTGGAATGTCCCTCTATGTGCTCACATCCAGTGCAAGTGAATGGATGTGATGATGTCACAGGTCTTTAGACTACCGAAGCCCGACGGAGGCTGCGGGACCGGTCTAGAAGCCAGACAGGAAAGATAATTGGGCTAGTATATAATTTTTAACTTTAGACTCTAGAACAAAAGAAACAGTTAACCCTTTCAGTACAGGTTAGCCCTGCTGCAACGGTTAAAAGAGAACTATGGGGTAACCTTTTTATCCCATAGTTCTCTTTAGGCTCACAAGAGGATATATACTAAGCTCCTCATGACCCAAAGCTCTGTATATAGCGGGCTACTGCCCGCTATATACTGAGAGCACCGCATTCGGGACAGATCCCGGCAATACTGTCAAGATCCAACCAGCTGGCTGATTGACAGCGGGCTCTGCCTATCTAGAAGCAGAGCATGCTGTGCCCGCCCCCTCCCCGTCCGTTCCTCCCAGTCAGCGCTGAAGGATCGGAGAGGGGAGGGGGGAATCCCTGCAGGGAGATGACAGTCACCGCTCTCTGCAGGGAGATGATCGGGAAGTGAGCGAGCGACGGTATGTGTTCGCTCACTTCCCGATCTATAGAGCCGACGTGTGACAGTTTCATTGTCGCACGTCGGCTCTAACTATGACGAGTGTTAATCCCTCACCTCATAGTTCTCCTTTTTTAATGTTTAATATGCCCGGAGTTGTTCTTTAAGTACACAGGGGCAATTTAATAGGAATCTTTAGACTTTCTATAGCAAATAACCTATTTTGCAGTATTCTCTCAAAGGGAATGCCTTGAAACATTGAAGCTGTTGATAAAGTGCACACTGCTGCAATACTGCAGTACGGTTATCACTGAGGCAGAAATTGTCCCTTTATAAGAGAGTTATAGACTTGAGACTACACCAGCTGAAAAGGCTTTTAAAGGCTGCACTAAAAAATGTAATGGCTTCTATGGCACACTGGTATAAACCAATTATTTTCTCTCTTCATGAGATCTTTAGCTCCTTCATTAAGCGCCAGTCTCATTAGGAACAGTCTTTTAGTAGTTACAGAAGAGGTGCTAAATTTCTAACTCTAGTACATTTTATAGGCAATTGGCAAACAATATTTTTATTACCTGGAAATGTTAAGTGAAGATTTTTCTGTTATGATGGTTTTTTTCCTAGCTACCTTTTGTGTGATCTATGAAAGGAATAAGCTGTGGTAAGCAGCAGTGATTTGCCCTTTATGGTATTCATTTTCTACAAAGGATTGTCGCTGTATGTTTTTCTCCTTTTTTGTATAGTTCTGAAAACCTTTTTTCTCTTTTCAGAAACATTTACTATTTTATAGTAAATTGTTTTTTATGGTTAATTAGAGATTGTTAATGGTGTTGATTAAAAGTTGTACTGGAGATATTACAAAAAATGTTTTTTGTTTTTTTTCCTGCATACAGACGTCTAACTAAAGAAAACGTGAAGCCATCAGGACGGCAAATAGGAAAACTAAGCCATAGCAATCCAACTATTTTGTTTGACTACGTATGTTTAATTAAAATTTCCTGAATTAAAAGCAATTACACAGCATTGCAATGTTACTTTGTATAAGGTTTATCATGTCACTGTCACACCTTTCAATGTAAGGCCCCGTTCACATTGAGCGGTTTGCAAATCGCGCGTTTGCCGCGCGATTTGCATTTTGCGCGATATCGCGCAAATGCTTGCATTGAGCAAGCTTGAATCGCGGCTAAATCCGCTCCAAAAAGGGTCCTGCTGTAGCGACCCGCGACAGCAGGACCCTTTGCCCCATTGAGAAGCATTGGAGAGCGATATGGCGCGGTAAATTGCTGCGATATCGCGCAGTAAATTGCTCCAAACCTTTCTTTGTAAAGAAAGTGAAATAAGAACATGCAATCAAATGTTTGGATGTCCTTAGAGAAAGGGGAACCCAAGCCGGCTTGTTCTTAGACCGATCTTTAGAGCTTCTCTCCCCCTCTGCTCAAGCGGTCTTAGAACCTTTGCATCATCATGTTCTACACATGTGTATAGACGTGAGGATGCTGAGGAACATTCCATCTGTGCAGAAGAGTAGGAGACACACTTTAGTCACCAGAGAAACAGGGAGTTGGCTTTTCTACTTCTTTTTTTTGTTTGTTTCTCAGCTAGATAAAAACAAGCAGGATACCCTTGCAGTGTGGGGGTAGCTCCACTGCAAGGGTTGATAAATTTTTTCCCTGTAGTTCTTCTTTAAAGAAATAAGGCTAATGGAGAGAAAACGCAAAGGAAACTAATTCAAACCTGTAGAGAAGGAAATACAGAGGCTGATGTTGGTTTTTAAAACGTTGGTCTGGCTTGGCTTCAGTTCTATGAAACACTGGGGTTCATTTACTAAAGGCAAATAGGCTGATCACTTTGCAAGAGAATATTCCCTTAGCTTAGCGAATGAGGTGAAGCTCTGCTGACTTCCATCATCCATTTTTTTATTTTTTTTATTGTCCTTGCCCATGATTGGGGTTTCTTTGCACAGTGAATCATCATCTCCACATTCACAAAGCTAAGGGAAAATTCTCTTTCAGTGTGCAAATTCCCCTGCAGAGGGAACAGGCTATTTGCCCTTAGTAAATCAACACCTCTGATATTGAGTAATCATGCCGATGAAGAAAGTGAGTGATGTTGGAATTCCAAATCTCTGTATTTGTTTGCAGTGGATGTACTAGATCGGCATAACAGCCAGGGAACTAGTATGTAGAATCACTGTGCAACATTTGTAATGGCTAGTTTCTGTTTCTCTATAGATCCTTGGGCAGTGTGAGGCTTATTTTAGAATGTGGTGAACTATTGGATGTTGCCTGTCTTGTTAAACCTTTTCTTTTTATTTCCGGCAGATTCTGTCACAGATTCAGAAGTATGACAATTTAATAACACCTGTTGTGGACTCGCTGAAATACCTCACGTCCCTGAACTATGATGTCCTCGCATGTATCCTTTTGTTTGACTTATTTGTTATGTCTTTTGAAATGTTTGTATGTTGCAGCACATTACCTTGAAAGTTGTAAACAGCATTATCATTTATGTTCTTTGTACATGTGTCCATATGACTGTGCAAACCTTTGCTTTGCCCATGAATGGTAGGGCATAAACATTTGCCTTTATGCCCAGTTCCCAGCAGCAAGTAGTCACCTTTCCTATTGAGAGCAAAGGAAATACCTAGTACTTCTGGATCTGGAGGAGCATGTGACTCGCCTTATTCTCATGAGTCATTGCTGGTGATTTGGTCCAGCACTGTTACATGGGGGTAGAGGGTCTTCAGGCCTGCAATCTGCTAATAGAGCTTACACAACACTTTCTTTCCTTGCTTCCAGCAAAGGAAGTGTAGTGGTGTAGAGAGCAAATGAAAGTGAGAATGTGCTGCTGGGGAGAGGGCGTTGAACTGAGCCTAATTATCGTGTGGGTTTTTGTTGTGTATTCCTTGTTGGGTGATAACATTTTGTGTAATGAAGTTATGTTGGCCATGCTCATAAAGAGATTGGCGTATTTTCCTTTAACTAGAAGTACAGACTGTATCATTGAAGCGCTTGCAAATCCGGAAAAAGAAAAAATGAAGCATGATGACACCACAATCTCCAGCTGGTTACAGAGTTAGTACAAACTTTTTCTAAACTTTCAATTATTTATCTGGGTGCTAACTGATAGAAGGGCCAATGGTCTTCCTGTCCACATTTTGCATGTTCCAGCAGTTTCTGCTCTATCCTTCAAAATAAAAACTAATTGAGTTTCTGTGTCTGCATACCTATTCAGTTTTTTCAAACACATAATTCTCACCAATAAATGCTCTGAAAGTTAACACTGCAATATCAAGTGAAATATCAGCTTTGGTTGGACTGAGCCTTTTAAATTGTTTGCCTTCTGATGGACTTGGACAGTGACTGCCAAGATCCCAACGGCGTTTCTACTACCTTTTAAGGTGCCCATACACTGCACGATTCTCGTACGAGAATCGCAGGAAATCCCGCGATCGTACGATAATCGTGCAGTGTATGGAAGGCGTGTGACCGTGTCTACTGTACGGTCGCACGTCTTCCGTCGAACCAGCATGCTAGAAACCCCGCCGGGAATCGTACGATTCTCGGCGAGTTAGTGGCCTGCTGGTTCGTCAACTGCCGAACGGGCCGGTGTGCGCACGCTGCCCGTTTGCAGTCATCGTAAGCCCGCCCCTCAGCGCGGCGGGCTTGCGATGATCGCAAGTACGATCTATCTGCCTGTCCAAGATGGGCAGATCATACGTTTTTTAAAGTACTTTACAACCCTCGCAAGACAAAAGTCTTGCGAGGGTTGTAAAGTGTGTGGCCACCTTTACACTGATTTAAAAACAAATGTTCCTGTGCTTTTTTGAAGTGATTTAGAAAATATGCACCCGTTAGGCCTTATTCCTAGGCACTTCAGTGTGTGGAAGGAAAATATTATTTGCTAAGCTTTCAGTAAGCTTCAAGCTGCTTGTATGATTCCTTTTAATGCAAACGTCAAATCCTGTATGGGAGTGTAAAACCTACATTTAAATTTTAATGGAAGTGCCGAATGTCACTTTCAATAGTGCGCTCGCAGGCTTTTAACAGGCTTCAAGTAAAGCTGCAGTTTAATGAAGCCTGGTAGCCAGTACACTCCTCGCTTGGATCTGGTTTACAGTTTTGCAAATTCTTTCTAAAAACTAGCTATGCACATTGCTTTCATAGCTGAAGCCTGTATGTACGACTATATGCCTGTTTATTGCCTGGATTCCACAAAAGTCTTATATTCTTTCTTTATCTCTACAGGCCTTGCTAGCTTTTGTGGGGCAATTTTTAGGAAATATCCCATAGAATTGGCTGGCCTTCTGCAGTATGTAGCAAACCAACTGAAAGCTGGCAAAAGGTAAGCATTGGTTAGACTATGGAAATGTGATTAGCCATTTAGTAAGTGCTTCTGCCATGTGTTCTTCCTGAAATATTTTGTATTCCCTTAGTATTCAGTTAATTGAATTTCATAGAGCTGCATTTATTACAATGCTGACTGAGTAGATCTCAGCATTATTTTTCTTGTCACATTTCTCTTGCAGTTTTGATTTGTTAATTCTAAAAGAGGTGGTACAAAAGATGGCGGGGATTGAAATCACCGAAGAAATTACAATGGAACAGCTAGAAGCAATGACTGGTGGAGAACAACTTAAAGCAGAGGTGAGAGATAATATGCTGATTGACACTTGACACAACTGAAAGAAACTATTATTTATTTCTAGCCCAGTAATGGACACAGGAAATCTTATACTGTTAGGTTAAACTGTCGCCTACAGGAGGAATGGACAACAAAAATGGCAAACAAAAAAAATCTGTAGGACAGCCCAGGATAACTCCATCTCTAATCAGCATGCTTAATTTTATTTTTCCTAGTGTCCTAAAAACACTAACTAGCTTTTTTGGTCTATTTTAGTTAGTGTTTTTTCTTTGTTTGGAGGCCGGTTTTTCCCCACATAGAAGAGATGTACATGTACCAAGGTGTGTCTTGGACCCTGCATTGCAGGTTAAGGACATCAGAGGGGGACATGTTTCACTGTGGACTGTCTGTGAGCAGATCAAGCTAATCTTCTTCTGCAGGTTTTCTCTGAAAGGGAATTCCTTAAGGACTTGGTGGGACTTGTCCAACTGGCACCTGAGGTGAGGCCCCTCTTCCTTTGGCGGATTTAAAGACTTGTGAGGAAAGCCTTTCTGGTGCTTTTATACGATTTTGGATTCACCTTGGCAAATATTTTGCTGTTCTGATGATAAGATTTCTGTTCCTTTTTCCATAAATGCTGCTGCTTTGTTGAATTTGGCAGCCATGAGAAGTCTTATCCCTGTGACTCTTGAAGTCAAGGATAGGCAGGACTATTTTTTTCAGCAGGATCCATCCTAAGGCTCATCTGAGAATTAAATTCTGCTTACTGATGAGTGTTTCTAGCTTCATCGGGGTTGTAACCCATCTTACTCTATTATGGTTAGTTTTGTTTTTTGTTTTTTAACATCCATGTCTTGCCTACCATTGTAGGGTTTTAGCAATGCAATTTACCCAATCAGTCATGCTGATTTCAGTGGATTTAATCATGGGTTTTCTATTGCGTTCGGGAGTCTTTTTCTCTCCCCTGGCAGGTTGTTTCCAGTCCTTTTCAGGGTTCTTATTTGGTAAGGGGTGGTGGTCTATTCAGACAATCTCTCGAGGTGCATATTTCTTGTTTCGTGACCCTCGTGAGGTCAGATGAGACTACGTCACCTTTCTATTTTGACCAGCTGGTCTTGTCTTTTACAAGGACTTTTCCCATTTTCCTTATTAGGTACATGTTTCGACTAGTTACTTGATCTGTTTCCTTTTTAACCATGTTAGTTGTGGGGGGTTTTTCCCCTCCCAAATGGCAATTTGTTGCTTGTTACACCCCTTGGTGTTTTCAGATGTCCAGCTTCTCACTTGGTCTGTGGTTGGTGATCTCTTCCATGTTAAGCCATTCTTTTATGGTTAGTGACCATTTTGTTCTTTGTCTTGAGCATATGGTTGATTCAGTTCTCCCACTGGTTGTGTTGGCAGGGTCCCCTATCAGGTAGGCTACTCTGCCCTATCCGGTGTCGGATTTGCACATTAGTCCTTCGGGTGGGTCTTGGGCTGCAGACAGCCCCTAGTTCTGTTTTTTTGGGCCTGTTAGTGATTTGTTTCTGTTTTTCCACCCCTCAGTTTTCACTGCTTTTTGGATGTCCTAATCGTATCCTGTGTGCCTGAGTGGACGAGGCACTAACAAGTCCTCACTAACTTAATGCATTGTGAAGAATATTGTTTTTTCCTGTCATTTTGTCCATTTAGAGATCTTATGTTTTTTTAATAAGCAGTGCTTCATATTTATCTAACTTGGAGAAATAAAGATGTTCTGACTGTAATAAACATTGTGCTAATTGCGTACCTGATGCACACTTTAACACTTGCAGTCACGCTTGCAGTCTCAATAGCAAAGGTGAAATCTAAATTTACCTGGTCCTTCACAGTTTTAATTGGATATTAATTTGATTTGCTTGGTAATTAAAGACATGATTAATATGCAGGATGTCACCATGCAGCACATATTGCAGGCTAGTGTTTTTCTTTAGTTATATAAAATATATTTTAAATTACCGAACGCTCTTTTCCACAGGGTGGTTACTTTGGTCAAATTAGAAACACCAAGAAGTCTTCTCAACGTTTAAAAGATGCTTTACTGGACCACGATTTGGCCCTTCCTTTATGTCTGCTGATGGCCCAGCAGAGAAATGGTGTGATATTTCACGAAGGGGGAGAAAAGCATTTGAAGCTAGTGGGAAAGTTGTATGATCAGGTGAGTAGAACAGAATTACCAGACTGATTAATTTCACTCAGCACTGCCTAAACAGATTCGTTTTTGATATCCTGTCACTTTCCTTGGTCCACACCGGTATATAAGTGTTAGGTCCTGCAGCTTGCATTTTGAATAGAGGGGTACATAATGCACATAAATTTCATCTCTGTAGTTGCACTAATAGATCTTGCAGCACAAAATTTGAGTGGAGTGCAGTTATTGACACAAAGCTTTGTTTGCATTTACAGGTACATTGATGCTCTTTAACTTTAATAATTGGCCCTGCTGTGCACTCCTTAGGCTCCAATCACACCTATATTTTGCGATTGAGTGCTTTGCATTTCTTGTACAATTATTATTATTTTTTTTTTGCGTTTCCTAAAAGGATGTGTGTTCTCATGACTGTTAGTCGATTTTTGGTTTGTATTGATTACTTTTTTCTTTTTCAGTGTCATGATACATTAGTACAGTTTGGTGGCTTTTTGGCATCTAATCTCAGTACAGAAGATTACATAAAACGAGTTCCATCAATAGATGTCTTGTGCAATGAATTTCACACCCCACATGATGCTGCATTTTTCCTGTCCCGACCTATGTACGCTCATCACATCTCAGTAAGTACACCCTTGCCTTGATGTAAAAAAAAACATAGGTTTGTATTCTTGCATGTTTTAAGTTACTTGTCTTTGGATCTGATTTATATTAAAGAGAAATTTTAATGGTTTGGTTGCAATTGTATTTTTCTTTCCTTAGATTTTTAAACTGTTGTGGTGTGTATATGATATACATTCCCTCTCCCTCTCCCCCCAGTGCTCAGTCTAGCCATAAAGCACAAAAAAACTAATTTACATTAAAAACAGTTTTGTTTTTTTTTAGAAATTGTGTTTCCTCTCTCTAAACTATCCACCCCCACCCCTATTTTTCGAGAGAAAGAGAGATCTGTATTTACTATTTTAATTATTATTCACAGCAACGTTATTATCATTTTATTCCGTTTATATTTTATTTTTACAATTTAAAATGTTTCCTCTATTTTCTGTGATGGTTGACTTTTATATGAGGCGGTATCTTAATTTCAAATATTTCTTTTTACTTCCTTAGTCAAAATATGATGAGTTAAAGAAGACTGAGAAAGGAAACAAACAGCAACATAAAGTGCACAAATATATCACATCCTGCGAGGTTGTGATGGCTCCAGTTCATGAAGCTGTAGTTTCCTTACATCCTCCTAAAGTATGGGATGATATAAGCCCTCAATTTTATGCCACTTTCTGGTCTCTCACAATGTATGACCTGGCTGTTCCATCCTCCAGCTACAACAGAGAAATAAATAAATTGAGAGTACAGATGAAAGCCATTGATGACAATGCTGAAATGGTAAGTTAAACTCTTCTATTCTTGTCCACCATATACTGCTTTATTGGAGGTAATTATAATATTTTACATATGGGGACACTATAGTCTTCTTAGATAGAGAGGAAGAATTTTAGTTTGTCTTTTAAAAATCCAACATGTTGTCTATCTGAACCCAGGAACAAAAATGTAATATATTGTAGCTTATCTGTTATTAGCTGTGGTGGCTGCATTCATTTTTTTTTTTGTTCAGCTTAAGTACATTTTCTGCAAGTACTGAAATATATACAGGTAATTTTGGCAATAGATTACGAAATAGATCATCCTTATAATGTCCTGTGATCTGAACTGAACACTTGTATCTTCTGTGAGCCACAAAATTCCTCTTCAAATCAGAAGAGCAACCTAGAGTGACAATGCTTCTCCTTCATAGATATAGTTGAGGAGGGAACATTTGCTGTATAATTTTACACTTTCCATTTCACTATATTGCACACCACACTATCTTTTTTTTCTTTTTTACTTCCACCGCTCCAAGCTTGCTACTGTGATGGACTACAACCTCAATACAAACTAGTAGTCCCATCACTGGAGCAATTTTTTAAACTTTATTTTATTGTTTATCCGATTAATCGAACCTAATAATCGGCTAACTAATCGATTTTGAAAATAATCGTTAGCTGCAGCTCTACTCTTATGCCTAACACACTGCCTGAAATTTCAGGTGAAGATAAAGTAAATTGAAGGAAAGCAAAAGAAAAGGGCAAGTTTAATCATACCAATAAGAAGAGTGCAACTTTATAATCATTTAAGATTAAATGTTTACATTGTAACCACCACACTGCAGGGGTTTAGTGCTCATTTTGGTCTAGGGTCTACAATAAAAGTGATCCTCACCCAATCCTGCAGCAGTGAACGCTCACCTCTTGATTGAGGTTCGAGTGAGTATTGCTAGCACTTTTTTTTTTTTTCCTTTTTATTATTATTATTATTATTATTTTAGACCCTAGACCAAAGCAGGGGTTCTTTAAAACAAAAGGACATGGAGCCTTCTTTAAAGAGTATTTTGGTTTCATGGTTTCACATAATCATCTAGTATCTGCAGTTTACATTAGAAAGGAGAGCAATCATTTGAGTTTTCTAAGTGTGACATAAGTTTTTCTTTGAATTTTCATAAATTCCCTCTATGATACATTTCCAAGTCGGCCTTAACAAATAGCCTTATTTAAGCAATTTCTAAATCTGCATGTGATTACATTTTTTTAAAATGATTTGTGGAAGCCTTACAATTCACTTCTTGAACCTTTAAGCTGTTAATGCCTTTTATCCAAAATATGTTCTGTAGCCTCCAAATAAAAAGAAGAAAGAAAAGGAAAGATGCACTGCTCTGCAAGATAAGCTCGTGGAAGAAGAGAAGAAGCAGTCAGAACATGTAAGCAGAGTTCTGCAAAGGATGAAACTGGAAAAAGACACCTGGCTCTTGGCCCGTGAGTATACATAAAACCCCTGGTGGTATGCCAGAGTCCATTGTCTCTTTAAATGTGCAGAGTGTAAAATTGCATTTACTTTGAAGTGATTTATCTCTGTGCCTTTTCAGGGAAGTGCACTGAATCAGCAAGTGTTCAGAGTAGCAGTGCAATATATGTGGCTAAAGGTTTGAAGTTTCATAGTACAGTCCAAATAGAAATGAGCATTTTGCAACTTTGTGTTCAAGCTTTCCATCTAAAAAGATTTACTGAAATGAGTGCTATTAAACTGCTGATAAACCGCCTAAAAAGTGTTTGCTCTGTAAATGCACGGAGCCAAAATAGATTTCACTGAATTGGAAATGTTTGTCTGAGCAAGGGAAAAGTATTGTAAATGACAGCAATTTCAAACATGTTGCTTGAATAGGATCTGTTCTATGAAACTCCAAAGTATGAACAGTGTATACACCGGCACGGTAGCGGAATCAATAATAATCTGCCTGTTAAGTAGTTGCAGCTCCACAGTACTTGTCACAGTCATCAATTTATCTCCCAACTAAGCCCTTCATCAACCACCCTGCTTGCGTTTCTGTGCTTTGACTGGCCCATGTCATCCCCAGACTTGTGCTGTCCTTGATGAGCATCATTTTCTTCACCAAAAGAATAGAGCTGTAGACCGCTGGGTAATGGCCCGGCAAAATGAATGTTCACAACGTAAATGTTGGTAAATGAGGTAAAGCTGTGTTCACTTTAAATAACGTGCTTGCACAAATCCTGAATTTTAACTTCCCTTGCACATGCCTAGGCATTCAAAGTGAACAAAGCTTCACCTCATTTGTTAACATTCAATTGGCAAAGTCAGCATACACTTTCTAAAGTGAACACTGACCTTGCTAGGTGAACAGGCTCTTTGCGTTTAGTAAATCAACCATATTGAGTTCCTGTGATATAGCGCTAAAGAAAGGACTGAGATTAGAATTTGTTGGAAGTGGTAGGGATGCACTGATACTAGTAGTGGTATCTGTGCCGATACCAAGTATTTGGGCTTGTACTTTCCGAAATACTCCCAATACTTACCCCGATACCGGTACTTGTGGTCAGAGGGAGATTTCCTCTGACCTTGAGTGCGTGAGGGAACATGGGGCCAAACAGGAAGCCAGGCCGCGGGACCGCTGGGTAATGGCCCGGCTTCCTGATCGGCCAGGAAGCTGGCTCCACGCTGATTGGCTGGGAAGCCGGCTTCCTGGCCAATCAAGAAGCCAGGCAGCAGGTAATGGCCCACCTCCTGTTGATGGGCATCAAGATGCAGTGGCAAAGACAACAAATGGCAGGGAAACATTATTATACTGCTATGTTTAATCGTAAGCGATATTGATTATTTGGGTAAGCATGTTTTGTGACAACCTTTCATTATACATGGAAGATATGAACAGTTACGGAAAGCGCGCTGTGACTTTGTACTGTTGAAAACTGTGATGCCATCTGTTAGCGTTAATGGGCCACATTAATAATAAAGAAAATCAGAGAAGAAACATATCTACCATACACAAGCAGAACAGAGATAGGTGTGGTAGTTTACATGGAAACCAAACCCATCAGTCAGGTGTTGTACAGAGTCCCTCTTCTCTCTGTGCAGTTGCTGTAGAAGAGCTTTTACCACTGTTCTTGTGATTTGTGATGTCCTTGCCAGGAACAGACAAACCTCTGCCTCTGCAATCTTCACAAGTGCCTAAAAAGACCAAATCTTTTTAAAATGGGAACTATTCCAGTCCTTGAGATAGCATCTCACCTTTATCACAAATATGTTTTAAGTTTGTACTTGTTTGTGCTTTTGCCATTGTACAATTCTTTTCTTTTTAACGTTTTATTTTAGGATCTACAAAGAATGAAACAATCACCAAATTTTTGCAGCTTTGTATATTTCCTCGATGTATTTTCTCTGCAATTGATGCTGTATACTGTGCTCGCTTTGTGGAGCTTGTACACCTGCAGAAAACCCCCAATTTTTCTACTCTTCTGTGTTATGATAGAGTAAGTATTCTAGAGTTTTGGCTTACATATACTTATAAGTGAGAGGACCTCTTTCAGATAGTTTTACCTGTAGATGTGTATGCGCTAAAGCCCGTTTGACCCTGCATGTAAGTAATCTTAACAATTTGTGTTCTGTCGCTGGATTAGAGACCGGTAAATATAAGACTGGCAGGAGGTCTGCTCGTCTATGCCTAAGGGAGCTGTGTAAGGATCCGTTCACACCAGGGCCTTGCATAAACCTACTGTACCATGCATGCATTACTTTTTTTTAAACCGCATGGTATTGTGATTGCTGTGGCACAGTCGATCACATTGCAGGCAAAAGGGTGCGTTTGGGGTGCCATTCAAATGAATTGCAACACAATACCATGCAGTGCTGTTGATAAAGTAGTGCATGCGCACAGTGCAGTATTTCAGTACTCTGCATTGCAGACGAGAGGTGCGTTTGGGGTGTCATTCAAATAGCAACCCACCTTCCACACTGTTAACACATGGTAGGTGCGTTGTGTGGTACTGTGGCCCTGAATGCTTTTGATGTCCTTCCTTGCCCTTCCTTTTAACTTCTGCAACCTGAAAAGTAGTTTTGGTGTAAACAAAACCCTAGGTATGCAAGCTCAAATTGTCCCTGCAGCCTCTAAAAAAAAAAGTGCTAGTATGGCTAGTAGTCTGCTTCAATTTCTGTAGACAAATCCTGTTTGTAGCATCACTGAGCTCTCCATCTCTGCTGTAAACAACAGTTTTCAGAACATCACAAGAGGATGCAAACCGAGCCAGGCAATGCTGCTCCAATCAGGATTTATCTTCAGGACAAAGAAGGTCCTCGCTGATGCCAGTTACATTTCACTTGCCTTTTTCTCTGATTTGTGATATGCCAAGCAGACTGAAAGGGAGCAGATAGGCACAGACCTATCCATCCCAAATATGGGGACCCTTCTACAATCTGCAGTGGACAGCATAGAATTTGGGTACATGCATTTGCCTTGGAAGGATCTGTATACTTGGGAATAATGGATGCTTCCATTACTGGCCTCTTTTAAAATGCTAGTTGCGTGGTTGTCATATTGTTTCAGTAGCTTAAGTCCTTTCTGAGTCACTGACCAAGAAAAAGTATGCATATCAGTTATGACATTCCCGACTCGAATGCTTGTTTCTGGTCAGTCACTCGGGAAGTATTGTCACTCACGTCTCCCTGCAGGGATTCCCCCCCTCGGGATCGGGAGGTGAGAGAACACATACCGGCGTTCGCTCACCTCTCGATCCTGTCACGGCTCTCTGCCGTGACGGGAGGGGCTGAATTCCCCCCTCCCCGCTCCGATCCTCCAGCGCTGAGTGGTGGAACGGACGGGGGGGGTTCGGCTACAGCAGGCTCTGCCTCTAGTTAGGCAGAGCCAGCTGTCACTCACGCAGCTGGGTGGCTCCAGACAGCATTGTCGGGATCAGTTCCGGCTGTGGCGTCTCAGCTACAGCTCACGGTATACTGAGCTTTGGGTGACGGAAGGACACTAGTTTGTGTCCTCCCGTTACCCTTAGGAGAACTATGGGGAAAAGCCCTAACCCCATAGTTCTCCTTTTTTTCTCCTTCACTTGTCCCTTGAACTGATGTTAAATAATTTTTTGTACCAGGGCTTCTATGTTAATTTTTTTTTTCTCTAAGTAATTTAAAATGTTATTAAATTCCATGTAACTTACCTATATTCTATTGCCCAGTCAAGATGATCTGCCATTAACACATTGTCACAATGTCTTTTGCTGCAGGTTTTTTCAGACATTATTTACACCGTGGCCAGTTGCACTGAAAATGAAGCCAACCGCTATGGAAGATTCCTGTGCTGTATGTTGGAGACGGTTACTAAGTGGCACAGTGATCGAGCAGTATATGACAAGGTGCAGAAGTGTTATTACCACACTGTATAATCATTATGCTAAATACATAGTTATTCAACATTTCTCATAGACCATAATTCTGTTTAATTTATTTTAGTAGTTTATCACTCATGTTTTACCAATCCTGCAGGGCCATTAATCTCCTGCTTATTCAAGTATGTTATCACTAAAGTCAAATTACTGAAATCTGTAGAAAACAAGTGGGCTTAAGTGAATATAGAGCTGGAATAAAGAATTGAAGATAATCCTATTAATAACGAAGACTGCATGCATTTTCAGAGCTGGTCATACACAGGCAAACTTTTAGTCTACTACGCCAATAAATACATTTTTTATTTTTTTTAATTGTCTCTGTGAAATGACGATGCTTTCCTCTGGACGTACAGTGTACGTCTCCCGTCACGAAGGGGTTAAACAATTTTTTTTTAATGGACACTATCAATGCTTTACACAAAATAAACCTCCATATCTTGAGCAATTAAACATTTTTCAGTGTGATGGAATCTGTGACTGTGCTGTGTTCAGCAAAACACACACTTTTTAAAGAAAAAGCATTTCTTAACCCTTACAGTGAGGTTCCCCCCCACACTACAAGGGTTAAGTGTTCCATGTTTCAGCTGAGTTTTATTTTTTATTTTATTTCTTTTTCAGCCTATACAAAAATGAGCAATTAACCCTTGCAGTGCTGGTGGAAGCCCCACTGCATAGGTTAAGATTTTTTTTTCTTGGAGTTGAGGTGTTTACCAGCTTCCCATACATTCCCATACAATCAGACCTAAAATTACAATGGGGAAGAAAAAAAACTTGTGCATGGCCACATACTGTGTGTATTCTTTAGACTTTTTTTTTTTTTTTTCAACCATTGAGCAACAATGTGGCAATATATTTTACTTGATCTGACTGTGTTTATATTGTGGGGATTTTATTTCTCCTTTTTTAACACTTTTTTTTTTTTACAGGAATATAAAACCTAGTGTAGAGGACTTAGTTGACAGGTTTACAGTCTTATGGTTTCCACACTGCACAGCTTGAATGGCAGATCATTCCTGATTAATCATGTCATCCACCTTGTTCAGCCACATAACTTATGTCTCCTCTTGGCTGTTGTCTTGTCTAGTAAACAAAGAGCTAACCCAACAAGTAGCATAATATTACTGACTAATAACGTGTGTGTCATGTGTGTGGTGGGTGTGTGTGTCACAAGAATCGCTGGCCAGATTGCAAATCCTTGGGCAGGTTAACCGTAAAAATGTTTTTTTTTTGTACCATTCATTTCGCTTGCCTAGAGTTTAACCTACAGCAATTCCAGAGAAACATTTTACCTTTTCTCTGCAATGTTCAGCCATTGTAACTACCTAGACTTTGTCAAAGAACAACGACTGTGTCTAACAACATCCTGAATTCAGTTGCATGCCAAAAATGTTTTCTGCTGGGCTCTTTTGAATGGGTTGTTCACGAATAAAGGACCTGTTTAAATATATAACAGTAAATTCTGGTTTGCAAGAAAGTCCTGTAAAAATTAGATTATAGCAACATGCCATTTTTTTATTTGGCTGGAGAGGATCTGAGTGTTCAAGAGGAAAAAAAAATGTTCTGTTTGACTAGATTTAACAGTAGAAGACATGGAGGTAGAGGCTGTATATCTTCTTGTGGGAATGCTTCATGTCGGCAGTTTGAACAGTTGAGCTTCATCATCAGCTAGAGACAACTGATTAAAATCCCAGGGACTGCATTTAAATATTCATGATGCTTTTGACAGTTTGCCTACTCCTTGCTAACACATTTCACAGCCAAATTCCATGCTGTCACTTCCTGCTGTATGTCAGCCATTCATGTCAATATTCAGTGAAGCATTTCGTTTCATCCCTCATATTTCTGTATACGAGTTTTTGAGCTGTGTAAAATACTGTGCTGCTGTTTTGTATTCAGTGTGTGAAGAAAGGCTTTACAGAACTGGACTTCCTTGTAGTATGAAACACTCACTCAAAAGGCTCTCATCCGTGTGCCATTGTTTTTGTGTTGTCCGTTACACGATTAAACTGCCTGTTTGGAGGAAATATCAAACCACTATCAGGAGATCGCTAAGGTTTAACATTATGGTCAGAGATGTGTGCTTGGGCTGGTACGCACATAATGCTTGCCACGTGCTGTCAGTTGCACAGTAGTCGATCTATAAGTGGACCAGAGTTTTTCTCAATAATCGTATATCACTGCTTTTCAAGATTTCATTCTTGCAAGGAAATGAATGTAAAACCACACGCATGTACATGATGTAGGAAAACACCAGGCCTTTGGTGAATACCACTTACAGGCTAGCTTTATTAGTTCATATTGCAAACGCATAATCTTCTGTGTCCTGTGGTCCAGTTTTGTAGTTTTTGGTGCTCCTTTTCCTTTTTTCTTTTTATCCTCTGTGCTTTTAGAGTTTCTTAACTGCTCATAAGAAGGAGTGTAATGATATAGTATTTGCTGATGTTTAAATTGGACACATTAGTATTGTAACCTTAATAGTTTTCCTTTCAATACTGAGGACTTTTTGCTGCCTATAAGTTCTACTTCTTACTGATTTCTGCTTGAACATAAGGTTTAAGTGATACAGTGAACTCCAGTGGGCTGTTCTAGGGTCAGATTAGATGTAGGCTTTTTATTTTTTGTTTCGCTAAAGCACCGTTTGAGGTGCAGGTTTAAGAAGTGTAAGGATAGCTGTAATTACAACATAGGCAGTTAGTAGAAGTGAGAATGCATTTCACACCCCATAGTATCCATTTTACCTCACCCAGGTATGCAAACTTGGGGG